TAAAAATTTATTTTATTTTTAATTATGTGTATGTGTTGGGAGGGTTTGTGCATGGGAGTGTGGCTACCCACGGAAGTCACGGGCGTCACATACCCATGAACATGGAGGTACAGGAGGTTGTGAGCTGGAAAGCAAACTCTTTCTTTTATGAGAGCAGTAAAGCACTCTTAATTGATGAGCCATCTCTCCAGCTTTCCATCTCCTTTTATTTCTGAGAAAGGGTCTGATATAGCTCAGGTTGGCCTTAAACTTGCTATGTTGTAGAGGATGACGTGAACTCCCAGACATCCTGCGTCTGTGAGCTGGTGTTGCACCTGGGTGTAACAGCAATGCTGAAGAAAACCCTGACTTGGGGACCTCAATATAGGGGGAAAGCCAACTGAATAGAGGAAATTGCATTAGCAAAGATATGGATGTTCAAAAGATACAGCACCTTCCGGAAACCACAATGGCTCAGTATTAAGGGAGTTGGTACTAGCTGTGAACAGAGAGGAGAGGGCTCCCTGGCAGAAGGAGATCTTTAAGAGCCTTGCAACAGACTTAAAACGTTCTCTCGGAGATGATAAATATCTTTCTTCTAATTGATTTTCCACTGTGCACTCACAGTGATAAAGTGGTTTGGAGATGAAAATCAGGCTGTGGCCCAGCCCTGCTTCAGTGTGCTATAGAATGGAGTCTCGTCATTCCAACGGTCTCAACCCCATACTGTGTGCTTCTTTATCCTAGACCCCTCACTTCCTCCTGGCTAACCAGAGTCCCAACCTCAACAAACCTCAGTTCCTCCACCTTCCTTGGTTCTGGAAGAAGTTAAGTTCCCTGTTGTGTGCTCCCGAAGCCACCAACACAACCTGCGTCATATTCTTAGAACCTTGTCTTCTACTTTCAGGGTCAAAGTCCAGGCAGAGAAATCCTGTTCACTGCAGAAAGGCACTTAGTTCATAGGTGTAGAGTACAAATGCAGGCACGTTTTGGATATTTCTACCTGTATGTCCTGGAGTGCTGCTTTCCCCATTCAAAAACCAGCTCAGCATCACTTCCTTTTCCACCCTTCCACCTTCTCTGTGCCACTTACCCCTACTCAGATACTTCTTTTTTTCCTCTCAACATCCTCTTTTATTGTTTGGCAGTAGAGCCCCCGTAAACATAATTGTAGACATTCAGCTAGACAAAAGAGGGGTTAATACTTAAGTACTCATTGAACCCATGACCCTTTTCTGTTTATCTGTTTGGGACAGGGTCTTACGCTGCCCAGGCTGGCTTTGTACAATCTGTGTATCTGAGGATGGCTTTGAACTCCTGATTCTCTTGGCCCTACTACCTGAGTGCTGGGATTACAGGGGTGCCCCACCATACCTGGCTATTTATTATGATTCCTACTATTACTGTTATTTCATTTTATGTGTATATGTGTTTTCTTTTTGCATGTATGTATGCATAATTCATGCATGTGTGATGCCCAAGGAGGCCAAATGAGGGTGTTAGATCCCCTGGAACTGGAACTAGAGAATGGCGAACTACTATGTGGGTGTTGGTAATTGAACCCAGGACCACTGCAAAAGCAAAATGTGCTCGCAACCTTTCAGTCATCTCCCCAGCCACTTTTTATTAACTTTTGATTTTGAGCATGTGTGTCTCTGTGAGGTATGTGTGTGAGTGGAATAGGTATATGAGTATGTGTGAGTGGATGGGTGGGTATGTTTGCGTGTGTGTGTGTGTGTGTGAGTAGGTATAGGAGTGTGTATGAGCAGATGGGTGGGTATGTTTGTGTGTGTGTGTGAGAGAGAGAGAGAGAGAGAGAGAGAGAGAGAGAGAGAGTAGGTAGGAATGTGCATGTGAGTACAGGTGCTTTCAGAGGTCAAAGGTACTGGATCTCTCTAGAGCTAGAAGTATAGGTGGTTGCGAGCTGCCTAATGGGAACAGTGGGAAGCAAACTCGGGTTCTCTACAGAAGCAGTGTGCTCTTGGTTGCTGCACCATTTCTGTAGACCTGTTTATTTATTTTGATACAGGGTCTCTCGATGTAGCTTTGGCTGTCCTAGAACTTGCAAGGTAGACCAGACTGGCCTCAAACTCACAGAGAGGTGTCTGCCTCTGCCTCCTGAGTACAACTACTACATTTGGCCTTATTTATTTATTTATTTATTTATTTATTTATTTATTTATTTATTTTTGAGACAGGATTTTTATGTAGCCCAGATTGGCCTTGAATTTGATAGCAGAGGATAACCTTGAACTTTTGACCTTCCTGCCTTGACATCCCCAATGTAGGCACAACTTCCATGCCCAAATAAATAAACACACAATGACATCACTTCTATTTCTTCCTTTTTAATCCCTCTGGTGGAGTTAGAGTCCAGGGTCTAACGACTGTCAGTCAAGGGCTCTACCACTGACCTCTAGCCTGTCCCCCCATATTCCATCCTACAAATGTCTGGGCTCTAAGTTTGCATAGCGGTGCTACTTTATGAACGACATCATTACCCCCTTCCTTCCAGTAGTCAGTATTTGGGATCCAGGAGATGATGGCTGAACATGAACATGAGTACTTTTCCAGGGCCTTCCTCAGCCCTCTATAAACATGGGCTAGACAGGACAAAGATTTAGAATTCCTTGAATATGAATGGTCCTAACATTGATATGTTCTGTGGGAACTCATTCCCAAGCCACTTCTCTTGGGTGACAGATTCCATGTTACTTTTCGATAACTAGGCACACTTAACAAATTACAACTTACTCCCTGTTCCTTCACCTCCTTTCCATTGAACAGCTAAGTCCTTATCCTTCATTTTTGTTTCTCCACCACCACCGCCATCCCTATTCTGGGGAAGAAAAGATGAGTTTTAGAACTAGACAGGAGTGGGTTAATTTTGGGCATATATTGTTTTTCTTATTGACATCTTTTTCCTTAGAGATTTTTTTTTTTTTTTTTTTGAGGCAGGGTCTTGTTGTGTAGCTCAGGATAAACTCAAAACCCTTTGACATTTGTTTTTTTTAAATTTCATGTATGAGTGTTTTGCCTACAAGTGTGCATGTGTACTCTGTGTATGCCTTGTGTCAGAAAACGGCCTTGGATTCCCTGAGACTCGAGTCAGAGATGCTTGTTAGTGTAGGTGCCAAGAACGAAGCTTATGTCTTCTTAACCAGAAAGCCATCTCTCTAGCTAAGCGAACTTAAAAATTTTGCTCCTCTTGCCTCAGACCTCCTGGTGAAGGGCTAACAGATGGCGGGCACCACATTGGTCTTCTCACTTTCTGAATCTGTGAATGAAATGAAGAAGCTGTCCTGTAGAGTCGCCATGATTTTGGTATACAGGTGCTAAGCCCATGATCCTCTTGTTATTGTCAGTACCCATAGATATCTACTCCAGAACTTTCTGGTGGCACAGCACTGAAATCTAGGATTTACATCTTGACTGCACCTATCTTTACTCCTCCCCCAAATCCTGGACTCCACCCAATGGGAAATAATGTTCGATTCTACCACTGTCCCTTCTTTGTTTTCATTGCATATCAAACTTTATCTTTCTGATCACTTCCTCTTCTGTAGCTGGTCATTCTGATATGTGGGTCAGTGGCAAATAGGGCCGAGTTCTTCTCTTTCAAAGCAAGTAACTCCATCTAGATTGCAAACTGCTGGAATCAGCAGCTTCCTCCACTTAGTCTTTGCTGTAAACGGCACTTCCAAAGCAAATGATGCTCAGTAAACACTTGGTGAAAGAACAGCTCACTTTCCTGATTTCCGTGGACCCATTTCCTGCATAGTGTCAGAGGCGCTGGTATCCTCAACGCTATTTTGATGGCTTCTAGAGAACCCATTAGCATCAGATGTGCTAGTGCTCTCCTGTAATTGGAAAGAGCTCTCGGAACTGAGAGTTATTTCTCTGAGCTTCATCTACTACTCCCCCATACCCAGCAGCCCCGCTTAGGAAGCTGTGTTCACGCCTCCATTCCTCTGTTCTTCTCAGCCGTTCCTTTGGCCGCTACGCTCTTACCCTGGCTCCTGTGCTGTGGAACTCCTACTCACCCGCCAGTATGCAGTCACATCACCTTCTTTGTTAAGTCTTTTATGCAGTGGGCAGAGAAACAGAGCCAGCCTTTCTCTATCTTTTTTTTTTTTCTTTCCTTCTTTCTTTTTGGCTTCCCCCAAAGAGCTGTAACAGTACTGAGGCGTTATTTATTTATTTAAATGTTTAGAAAATATTTGTTTTTACTATTTTTAATTATGTGTAAGTGTCATGGGTGTGTGCAAGTGAATGCTGGTGCCATCAGAGACCAGATGCACTAAATCCCCTGGAGCTGTAGTTCAGACAGCTGTGAGCAGTCTGATGTGGGTGCTGGAAACCGAACTCAGGTCTTCTAGAAAAGCAGTAAGTGCTTTTGACCTCTGAGACAGCTCTCCAGCCCAAGACATTACTTGTTTACTCTTTTGCTGCTTCTCTCCAGTGAATTGCTTGAAGGCCACGATGTCTGTAATCTGTTTCATCTTCACCTAGCACAGTGCTTACTTACACTAGGTATGTGGTTCAGTCAATGAACAGACAAATCAAACGATTCATCGAACACTGCAGATTGTACGAGCCAGATTCCCAGACATTTCCAGAACTGGCTCTGTATTTGGACCGAGCCATTCTGACATCTCTGCTCCCTCCTCGAGGCCTCTTTGCCTTTGTTTGGTAGAAAGGCAAGGAACGTGATTGTGGAAAGTGTTATTCCTTTAGGGTAGAGCTATAATTCATTTGCACCGGCACCTAGAGGGTTACAGCGGCTCAGGGGCGGAGACGAGTCCGTGCCACCTGCTGCGGTTGAGCTGACGCATGCGCAAAGCCTCCGCTAGGCTACCTGCCGGGCGGAGCGGAGGAGGAGCGCTTGCGCTCTGGGCCTTTTCCGCCGGGGGGTGGGGGAAGTCTCGCGGGGGCGGGGCGCGGCGGGGCGGGGCCGCGTGGGGAAGTTCTCGCGGGACCCTGGCGAGGAGCGGAAGCCAGGCTGCTCTGCTGCTTCAGCGATCGGGCGGCGGCGGCGGCGGCGGCGTTGCGAGCGAGGCCGAGGCGGGGACGGCGGCCGGGGCAGCGGGCGCCGCAGTCGAGGAGCAGCAGCGGGGTTGGCGGGCGCGGGGGCTAGCGCAGGGCGGGCCAGGCGACGGAGCAGGCGGCTGCGCCTCGGTGAGTCTCAGAGAGCGGGCGAGAGGAGAGCGGGAGCGCCGTCGTCCCCGCGCCGCGGCGGGCAGCGCGGGCCCGGTCTGCCCGGGGCTGCCGGGGCGGGCCGCTCGCGGGCCGGGGAAGACCCGGACCCCAGCGCAGCTACTGCGCCGCCGTCTCCTGGTTTCCCCTTTTGGGGCGCTTCCTTCCTGGTGCCGGTCTTCCTCCCGCTTGGAGCAGAGACCCGGCTCGCCGGTGAGGGCTCGTGCCGCGGCCGTCCGGCTTGGCGCAGAAGGGAGCCCGGAGCAGCCGAGAGGCACAGGGTGCCGTTCTGAGTCAGGCTGACCGAGCCCGGGAGGCGGGGGATTCGGTGCCGGCTGCTAACGTGGTGATTGATGCTCCTTTGACCTGCAAGGCAACACGTCACCGTCTGTTGGCATCTTGCGGTCGAATTGTGTGCGGGAATCCACCGTGAGTTAGAATGATTGTTACCCGGACCCGTCGACGGATCTCTGTCAGAGTCGGATGCGTATTTTTTAGAAGTACTTGAAAAATACTTGTTGGGGAAAAGCAGCAGCAGCAGCTGATGGGAATGCTGGGAGGAAGGAGTTCAGCGAGAGAGCCCCGCTGGTTCATGCCCGTTTATCACGCTCCTAATTCCGTATAGGTTTGTGAGCCGTATGAGCTTGTTTAGAAAGTGATTTTAAGCTGTCTTCAAAAGCTAAAGCAGTACAGTTTGCAGGGGAGCCGAAGCGCGCTCAACGTCCATCTTTTGCTGCTGTTGACACTCAAAAAGAGGCTAGAGAAATTGGCTCTATTTTGACTTCCTCACCCCTCTTTCACTTTGTTCTCCAGTTTTTGCCTGCTCAGTCTCCATTGCACTCCACTCGGGTCACGAAATGCATTTGTAACGCTAGTCGTTGGCCCCTCCACCCCCTCTTTAAAAATACTCTACTTCCCCTTCTTGCTGGTTCTGCGCTATAATTTTCGAAGTTTCAGCCCTTTTTGGGACTATTAATTCTCTCCGTCCTTCTAAGATACTTTTTTTTTTTTTCTTTCGGAAAGATACCTTTTCCTGTTTGCATTCTTTTAGTTTTAAATGTCTACTGTATTCTCCAGCCAGCCAGAGGGCTGCTAGGGAGCCACAGGAGTGTCACATAAGTTCTCCCCTTGGGAACTAGGAGACTCAAAGGACTGAATTCATTCCGAAGTAATCGATAGTGCCACCAGATCACAAGTGGATTTTGCCTATTGCTTGTATTGTTTGTATTTTAATTTTTTTTCCCCCACAGGTCCTGCTTTTGTGCCTACTATTTTCTTTCTCCCTCTTCTTTCTCTTAACTGTTAGCAAGGAAGATTGAGTCAGTTTGGAGGCTAAAAGATTCCTTTTTAAGTTTTTGGTGTGACAAACTATTGAATGAAAATTGTCTGTGGAGTTTGTGAATTACGATAGCTTGAAAAATTTGAGAGCAGAAATTGAGATTTGTCAATTAAAGCCTACCTACTCATTCTAACTACAAGTTCAGACCTACTCAGGCTTGTGAAAATGATTTCTAAACTTTTTAGGTGCTTGAGTGTATTTTGCCTGCATGTATATATGTGTACTACATGCATGCCTGGTACCCTCAGAGGCTAAAGGAAAACAAACATTCTGGAACTGGAGTTACAGGTGGTTGTGAACAGCCGTGTGGGTGCTGGGAATTGAACCTAGGTCCTCTGGAAGAGCAGCTAGTGCACTAAACAGCCTGAGCTGTTACCTCTTCAGCCCAATTGTTGGGTTAAGCACTACTTGGTGGTACTGAGGTATTTCTTCGTGATTTCCATTATGTCACGTGCAGCAGCGCTTGTGGAGAATTATGGAGTGTTAGGCTCGGGAGGTGGCTGCAGAACAGAGCCACCACACAGACATTAGTCGTTACCTCCTGAACTCAGGAGAGCTCTAAACCTTTGGCTAATGTTTATTAGGATTTATTGCTTTGTGTTTGCCAAAGTTGATTTTCCCCTACCAAGTCGAATGAATATACATAATTTTGTTCAGAAATAGTCATCTGAAATGCAAATTATAAAATTTGCTTAATGCTCCCTCATTTTAGCAGTGATTCTTAAAATTTGTAAGTATAAACACTAACCTGCCAATTAATTTTTTTTTTTTTTCCGAGATAGGGTTTCTATGTGTGTAAGTCCTGGCCGTGCTGGACTTGGATCATAGGCCATGGTGGCCTGGAACTGAATAGATCACTTCTGTCAGCCTCTGCCTCCTGAGTGCTAAAATTAAAGGCATGTTCTACCACACCCTGCTAAAAATATTTTTATGCAGGTTTTTTGTTTTTGTTTGTTTTGAGACAAGGTCTTGATAGATGTAGTCCAGGTTGTCCTCAAGCCATTTATCTATATTTTGAGGTAGGGTCTCTGTGTAGTCCTGGAACTTACCTGTAGACCAGCTTGTCATCAAACTCAGAGATCCTTATGCCTCTGCTCCCCAAATACTGGGATTAAAGGTGTGCACCATCATAATTAGCCCTGGCTTCAGACTTTGAATCATCCTGTTTCAGCCTCACCCCAGTGTTAGAATCATTGGCTTCTGCTACCATACTTGGTAGGGGATCCTCTTAAAGTAAGGTCATGGCAGAAAGAACTCCAGCAGTGTTACATAACACTATCCTGCAAGAAAGATCTTTTAGTAGGAAGGTAGACCACTCAAAAATAGCTACAGGAAGGCCCTGAAACTGACCAGATTCTCCAGGCCGCTCCCTGGCAGAGTAAACAATGAAAGCTGAGGCCCTCTCACTGAGGGAGGCCCAAGTTGCAAAGGTGAGTCTCAGACAAACAAAGCTGCAAAGAAGATTCAAGACCAGGCCAGCTGCTTGGAAGAAGCAGAAACCAGCCTAGCTTCCTGGAAGAGGTTTAGATCAGGGTCACTTAAGAAAAGACACTCTCCAACCTGTTGAGGTGCTAAAGTGCTCCAGCTTTTCCAGCTTTTGTGAGCTGTCTTTCTTACTGGGGTAGGCTTTGGTGATGCAGCTGACTTTGAGTCCATTTCTACTTCCGTATGTAACCCCTCATCCATATTCCTGTAACTTCCTATCTGGGATGAGTAGACAGGTGTTGCATCCTCCCCAGGAAAAGTTTTGTCACACAGCAATCAGGTCCCCCACAATAAATGAGTCCCTGAATGGACTAATTAAAACAAAAAAGGAGCCAGGTGTGGTGGCACATGCCTGAAGTCCCAGCCGAGGCAGGTAGGTCTCTGTGAATTGGAGGCCAGCCTGGACTACACAGAGAAACCCTGTCTCTTAAAACCCAACCAGACCAAAAAACAAAAACTTTTTTTTCGGTTTGCATACAAATACTTGGATTTAAAAACTTTTTTTCCCTCTCTTAGGAGGAACTGAACTAGGACCTCATGCATGGCGGTTAAGCTCATATTCTACCATGGGTCTAGTTCCTGCAGTAGTTAAACACTCATTACGTTTCATTCTGGTGCTGGGGATTGATTTTGGGACCTTGCACATGGTGGATAAACACTACAGTGCTATATACCTCAAGCCTGTGATTTATTTGTGTTTGTTTTATCTGTCTGCTGTAACCATGTTAGTTTCAGGCTCATTATGGAGTTGAGAGTGGCCTTGAATTTCTGATGCTCTTCTAACTAAAGTGCTGGTGTAAACCACCACACCCTGTTTGTATAGTGCTGGGGATCACAATCTGGGCTTTCTGCATGCTAGGCAAGCACTGTACCAACGAGGCTACGTAATTAGCTCATGTATGTAAAGTAGTATTAAGACTGTGAGGTGGGGTGGGTTAAGTTTAGACACTTGTATGTCTCCCTAGTGGCATGATGGAGTGAAGCCTAGTGCAGAGAGTGCTAAGGAATACTTTAGCGCCTAGTGCAGAGAGTGCTAAGGAATACTTTAGCGCCCTCCCCTTTTGTTTTGAAGCAAAGCCTATCCCTAAACTTGCTGTACAACTAAGACTGAGATTACAGCATATGCCATTACATCTTGAACCCAGGGCCCTGAGTATGATAGGCAAATACTTTACTGATGAGTGTTATCAACAGCCCCAGGCTCAAGCCCAGTTTGTAGTTAATAGGGTTGTTAATGTGTCTGTCATAGAATTCTGACTTAATGTATGTGGGTGCCAGTTGTAGAAACTGTCACATGTAGACTTAGAGTTGAAAGGGAACCCAACATACTAGTTAACATCTTCATCATCAAAATGTTTTATTAAGCAGGTGCTGCTTATTAGCCTTATTCTTAGAAGAATAAGAATAACTTATTCTACAGTTGATAGGGTACTAGGATCTAGAAAATATAAGTTGCTTCTCTGGTTTCACCTTTTTTGTAAATGTTAAAGGGACAGTTGAATCCAGGCCTTATACCAGCCTATCTATAAAAGGCCTTTGGTTTGTGTCCTCAATACAAACTAGTACCTACTTACTGGAAAAACAATGTGGCTACTGCACAGAAAGTAATAGTATTCTCTTATATACCAGTAGAAATAACAATTGTTAGTGTAATAGTTGTAAGTGAATATTCATGTGCTATGTTGATTTACACAAGTTGGATGAAGTATTATTTAGAGGCAGTATTGGGATATGGCCTTGATGTAGCTCTGGCTGACCTGATGTGTCCCTCAAGTTTTTAGCAGTTCTCCTGCCTCTGCCTCTCTCTCTCTTTTTTTTTTTTTTAAAGATTTATTTATTTATTATGTATACAATAATGTGTTTGCATGTACACCTGCACATCAGAAGAGGGCACCAGATTTCATTTTAGATGGTTGTGAGCCACCAGGTGGTTGCTGGGAATTGAACTCAGGACCCCTGGAAGGGCAGACAATGCTCTTAACCTCTGAGCCATCTCTCCAGCCCTCTTGTTTTTTTTTTGAGACAGAGTTTTTCTATGTAGCTCTTGTTGTCCTGGGACTTGCTCTGTAGACCAGGCTAGCCTCGAACTCAGAGATCTGTTTGCTTTTGCCTCCTGAATGCTGGTATTAAAGTTATGCCCTTCCTCCCATAGCCAGCTAAAGATTTATTTTTATTCATGTGAATACGCGTTTGTCTGTTTTTCAAGTGTGTGCAGGAGGATAGAAAAGGTGTTGGCTTCTCCTGGAACTGGAGTTACATGTGGGTTCTGGGACTCAAACCTGGGTCCTCAGTAAGAGCAGCAAGTGCTCTTAACCACTGGGCCATCTCTCTAGCCCTGCTTTTTACATTTTCAAAATACCATGCACCTTTCGTGTTAGTCAAAACCGGAGACATCTGCAGCACAACTGTACAGCTGTGGAAAAGCACAAGATCAGGGGACGGATAAGGCTTAGTAGTACATAGTGAGTTTGCCAAGCATTTAAAAACGCTAGATTGGCTCCCTGCACTACTTTAATAGGGTGTGGTGATGTGTACTTGAATCCCAGCACTTGGGAGGTCATCCTCTGTCACATAAGAGTTGGAAGCCAGCCTGGGCTTCAAGAGATGCTGTTTCTAAACACAGGCAAAAGGCTACTACCTGCTTTGCTGCAACTACATTCAGCTCATCTGCAACAGGTTCCAGAGGGGAGTCTTCATCAGTAAGCACTGTGATTTATACTTGTGATCCTAGCACCTCAGAGGTCAAGGCTGAGGGATTGACCTGAGCTCAGGACCAGCACAAGCCACAGTAAGACTTTGTCTTAAAAAAACTAAACTCAAATATCTAAATTTATGGAAGCTGAAACTGTTGATTCAAGAAATCAATAGTATAACAGAAAATCAAAACAGGCCATTGAGATGGCTCAGCAGGAAAGGGTGCTTGCTGCTAAGCCTGGTGACCTGAGATATTCCTGGAACCTGCTTCATGGAAGGAGAGAACTGGCTTCCAAAAATTATCCTCTGACCTCCACATGTAAGTGCACATGCATGTACAATCACACAGATAGATAAATGTGAGAAGATCAAATCAATGTTTCACATGTCTGTGGCAAATAAAAGTTAACATTTATTTAGAAAACCTGAAGAAATTATCTATAACAAAGAAATTGAATCTTCCATTAAAGATGGCAACAGAAATCCTGTGCTATACACACTATTAAAGGTTAGAAATCTGAAGTTAAATACATACACGGTGACTTTTTACACACACTCCCTGTTGGTGATTGAACAGCCTCCAGTGTGTCATGCCCTGCCTTCCTACTGAGCTGTCTGTCTAGCTCCTGCACAGCTGACGCTGCTGTTCTCAAGAAAGGAAGCAGCAGGGCACGTTAACACTGCCTACCGAGGGCATCTGCTAGTACACACCTCCAGAGCCCAGCACACGTAATAAAGTCTAAGAAAATGCAGCTTTAGGTGTTGAAGTGATAGGGGAATTGTATCCGAAAATGTACCTAAAGGACTTTATGTAAGATTCTATTCTCTCTCTCTTTCCATGGCGTTAGGCCAGCATAGGTTGATGTTGAGTCTTCATGATACTGGAAGGTAGGAGAAATGCCAGTCATTCAAGGATCCTGTCAATTACACCTGTAATACTGAGCAAGCGTTTTAAATAAGACCCAGTTTTCTGACCAGAAAAATGGCATGAGAGCTACTTTCTAAGAAAAATTGGGCATTAGGTCATATATACATATATATAGGTGTGTCAGACTATCCAGATGTCTCTATATCACTGGAAGTTTAAAAAGAAAACAAATGGAAATCAAAGCAGTGAGGTATCCGAGCTGGAGGAGTTAAGTGCACTCATTTACTGTTCTAGGAGACCCATATTTGGATCCCAGCACTTATGTAGGGCACTTATGGACACCTTTAATTTTAGCTCCAGGGGATCTAACACCATTTTGTGGTCTCCTAGGGCACCTGGCATGCATGTGGTGCATAGATACATATGCGGTTAAAGTACCCATACATATTAAAAAGGTTTTAGACAATTGTAGATCTGGTTTAATCTATGACAAATTTAAGGATACTTTGTTTCTAATGCTTTTTTAAAATATTTGCTAGGAGTTTTTAAAAATTACTATGTTTTCAATGTTTTGTCTGCATGCACACCTGTATGCCAGAAGAGGGCACCAGATCTCACTATAGATGGTTGTGAGCCACCATGTGGTTGCTGGGAATTGAACTTAGGACCTTCTGAAGAGCAGCCAGTGCTCTTAACCTCTGAGGAGCTCTCCAGCTCCCCCCCCATTTTTTTTTTCCTTGAGAGGCTAAAGAAGTATGGCCTAGAAGAGCAAGCCATGATGTGGTTTATTGAGATGACTGCCTTCAGACTTCCCTGAAGGACCTGCTATCAGGTGATCTTTCCCCAGTGACCGCAGTTATGTTATCTGGTCTGACTATTCCCACGTTTGCTGCTTGTCCCATTTGCAGTTATGCTTGATTAATGCCCCAAGTGTAACCTTTAGAACGAAAGAATAATAGTCACCTGTGCCCCTCAGGTGAGCTGCTAGCTAGGTGGTAATTATCCAAGAAAGGTGCCGCTATAAATAATCTGCCCCCATTGTGCTGGAGACCCTTGTTGTCTGCTTCTGTTTAGTTTGTATGAGAACTGTGACTGCAAGCAAAAAGGGCTTAATTTTCCCTTATATGCAGAGGGCAAGGTTATGCCCCCTGTTCGTGATCCTACTGTCCCTGGATACATCATGGAGACGTTGTGACTCTCTTGATTGAAGAAAGCAGCTGTGAGGGGAACTGGATGAGGCTGGGGTCTGACCATCTGGCACCAGCCTGTACTTCCCTGTTCCCACAGAAGAGACTTGAGGTGGGGGATGTGATAGCACTTACTTGCGGTCTCAGTATTCCGGGGGCCCAACCAGGATGGTCACCTCAAAATTCTAGGCCAGTCTGGTGTATATATAGGGAATCCCAGGTCAGCCATAACTACAGTGTAAAAACTCTACACTTCCCCAAAAAAACAAAACAAAAAACAACTTATCAGCTCTGATTTGCTGGAAGGGATTCCTTTAAAATATAAATTAGAACTTCCACCTATGCTCTTTTGCTGTTTAGAAATAATGTAAGGGCTATTCCTGATTGTTATACCCGGGTCACCAGGTATAACAGGGACCAGGTATTTCAGGGACCAGGCAGATTAGAGTCTTGGATATTCTGTGCAAAAGAAGTCTCTCTACCTCCACTCCAAGCAAAGAGCTCCGAGCTGAGTCTTTCTCTAATGACCAGATGACAGGTTGGGAGTGAGTGATGCTGGTGATCATTGTATACCAGTCAGTGGAATTAAAAAGCAGTTCCAGGCTATCACTCTAACCATTTCTTGAGAACAGATCAAGGTTTAGTTACAATAGAGTAGAGCCCAAGTCCTGCTTGGCTTCTGACAGGGAGTGGGAGCACCCTCGTTCTTAGGACCCAGCGGCAAGGTACGGGAGGCCTGTGTAACCCACCTCCAGTGGGTCTTTAAGTGGACTACCTTGGTTGCCGGGGAAGATGTGTGAAGGGGTACTGGAGGAAAGGCTGAGACTGAAGGCGACTCACCGGTTCCTGAGTCTAACCCTGCGGGAAGGAAGAGGAAGTGTATTCTGGAATAGCTTAAGCAGCTGCCGCTATTGGCCGCTGGGCCTGTCAGTCGCCTGGGGCTGAGGCTGAAAAGAGGAAGGAGAGCTGTTGCCTGGAAGGGAGGAGGAGGGGGCTGAGCCCTTCGGAGCTAGGGGGCGTGGGGGCTGGGAGTGTAGGCCAATTGGCAGGGCGGGGCTGCCTTCGATCTGGCTGCTTCTCTTAATCATCGCTCTTCTGATTCAGGGTGGCATTGTGTGTCCCAGTGTGCAAGAATAGCCCCAGAAGAGGAAAGCTGAACCCAGAGCTCTTCAGCAGGGAAGAATCCCTCCCCCGCTGCTTCAGGCTGCTGAGCACTGAGCTGCGCTCAGAATGGAAGCCATCGCCAAATATGACTTCAAAGCTACTGCTGACGATGAGCTGAGCTTCAAAAGGGGGGACATCCTTAAGGTAAGTGCTCGTGTGGTCGCCTCTGGTGCTTGGCTGCCTTCCCTCACTGTGGTAACACACAAAGAAGCTTGCTTGCTCTTCCCTCAGTGCTCAGTGCACACTCTGAGCATTTGTCACCAGGTTTGATTGGGTGCTTGCAGTAGATGCTGAGCGGATTAGTAAATGTGGCAGAAGAGTTGGTGTGATGTGTGATCCTTAACTGCCTTTGTGTGAATGGCTGTTTTCCTCTTGATACTGGAGAAGTCAAAGGCCAGTGGGTTTACCTTGTGAAGTCATACTAAAAACAAAAACATTTTTTTTAAAAAAATCCCAAATGCGAATTATTTATGTAAAAACATTTCTCTAGCATTACTGTGCATAGCCAGAAGAATCTGCATTTTGTGGTAGGATCCTGGTAGATTTGAAGCTGGTTCGAGAGGTTGGGATTATATGTCCACGTCACTGAAGAGTTCCCGTGCCTTTGATTTGTGAAAAACTAATGGAGTTTCACATAATAGTGTTTAACTTGCCCTTGTACAACTCAGATTCTGGCTTTGTTTAGAGATGCCTGAGTAATTACTGCACATTTAAGTCTAACTGCATAAAAATTGATAAAGTTTAGAATTGAGTTGCTTGGCAATTTGCATTGGCTCCCCACCTGGCACCTGTAATTTACCCCATTGGCTAGAGTAATCCACCCTTGGGATGTCACTTTTTTTTTTTTTTTTTTTTTTTTTACAGGGGTCTAAGAGTGTGTGAACCTCAGTGGGGAAAAAGCTTACTTTGGGTGCTGCCTGTCTCACGATTTGATAGTCTTCCCTCTAAGCCTCATTCTGGGTTGCTAGGATTTGCCAGATACTTGTTTACTACCCGAGTGATACTCTTCTGTTTGTGCAGGCAGAAAGTGAGAACATGATTTATAGGAAAAACTATATAGTCATTATGTGAACCTATCAGTAGTGAGGTAGTGTTGTATGACAAAACATTTCCTGAGGAGCTTCAACATAGGGGTCTGCTTAGCCCAGATAGGGAATCCACACAGACCAAAGTGTGGTTACCACCAAAGTCCAGCTTGGCTGACCAGTGAGTTTTATTGGAGTGAGTTACAGGAATGTGGGTGAGGGGTTACTTACAGGAGCAGAAATGACTCAGACGGCTGTGTCACCAAGTCCCACCCCAGCATGGGTGACAGCTCGCAGAAGCTGGAAACCTGGAGCACACTGCACAGCCCGCAGGCAGCTCAACAGGTTGGAGAGTGTCCTTTCCAAGTGACTCTGGGCTAACCCTCTTCAGGCAGCTCAGGGTTAGTCTCTTCTGCTGCTTTCCAGTAGTTCAGCTGGTCTCTTCTACTCCCAGGCAGCCGGTCTCAGTCTTTTCATACAGTTCTTTCCGGAGCCTTTTCTTAATAGCTCAGCTTGAGTCTTTGCCTCTCAGCTTTCTGAAAAGGGGATGCAGGAGACTCAGAGCCAGGGAGAGGCCCAGTGAATTTGGTCAGTTTCAGGGACTTCCTGCAACTGTTTTGAGTTGTTTACCTTCCTGTTTAAAAAGCTTCTCGATGGGATGTTTGAGTCCCACAGGAAACTCTTAGACATTTTCCATACCAAGAACTAGGCTCTGAAACTTTTACAAATCAGGATTCATGGCTGGTGGGAGCCATCGTTCCTCGGGGTTAGAAATGGTCAGTTGGACATCACATAAGGTGGTGCTTGCTAAAGGGCTGCTCCTAGAGTGGAAACCTGTTCTGTGACTCAAGCTGTTTGAGGGTTTCAGAGTTTGAGAGTCAGGCAGAAGCAGCCTGCCTTTAGAGCACTGGTGTTTTCTGTTGCTGGCTTCTTGCAGTGGGAGAACCTTGGCTGCCATGTGAGTGTGCCATTGGTACAGAGGTCATTCGCTCTGTGGTTATTGTACAGTAGACAATCCACTCTTGCTAGCTCATAATGAGGCTGTTGACTCAGGCTCTCAAGGTTTGTAGTCTGTATAGAAACCCTTAGAACCAGATTTGTTGTTTTATTTGATTGCGGTTTTTGGAGACAGGGTCTTTTTGTAGCCCAGGCTTGCTTAGAACTCACTGTGTTGCCCAAGATTATAGGTGAGATCCACCATGCCAGACTGTGTTTTTGTTTGTTTTAAATACATAAACCTGCCATTTAACTAACTCTAGTAACATGCAGGGCTGGCAGTTGATAGTCTTCTTGTCAGTCTGTTGCCTGTTGACGTTATATCAACAAGATCAGGGTCTCTAAGCCGCAGCTGTCCTGACTGCTGTCTTTCATGTTTGTCCTAGACCTAGACCATTGAATGTTTGGCAAGTTGTTCATGTCCTCCTGGAATTCTTTTGATGAGGAAGAAGGTGAATCAGAATGTTCACATTTACTTACACATTCTATTTGAGGAGAGAAACCCCGTGCGCTCCGTCCTTTCTAATTTGGTAGATAACTGAGATATGAAGTCATCATGCTATGAATGCTTTGGAACAGTGGCCATTAGCTGCTGTTAGTACTCTTGTGGCTTTCCTCCATTAAATGAGGGTGTGAGATGAATATGTGTGTGCTGATGCACTGACTGCCGTTGTCCATGTCTCTGAAGCCTCTTCATGAAGAGGACATGTTTTCTGAGAAGAGCTGTTGGTAAAACAAACAGCTGCCTCCTTTCTGTGCGGAGTAAGCCAGCTTCATCACTGCCTTGTAGCATTTGATAGCTCTTGTGAGCCCAGACATGTTTAAAAGTGGCTGGAGTGGCAGGGAACACTGAAACTTTGAAATAAGGAGGTATTTGCCCTCCCTTTGCTTTTCCTATTTCCTGTTGCTGTTGTTTTATTTTGTTTTTGTTTGTTTGTTTGTTTCTCTGCTTCTTGAGGTATCTGTGTTGCCCAGGCTGATTCAAATTCATCCGCCTTTGTTACTTGTCGTTTTATGTAACCTTATGTTTTGCTTGGAGAGCAGGGGTACTGAGGCTCTTCTTGTAAGCTTCAGGCCTTTGCATGATTGAAATGCATTCAAGTTCCCCATTGTTGTAGTGGAGGCTTGGAATGGGCCTTGAGTAAGCAACTGGGATTGCAGCTCAGTGGGAAAGGACTTCCTAGGTGTGCGAAAAACTCTTGTCTTTTTAGCATTGGTCCGTATAAACCTGCCATGCTGGGATGTATGAGTGTGTACCTCAGGTACTGCTGCATAGGGATGGAAGGGCCGTTTTAAGCCCACAGAGCTTTGTGAATTCTGTTAAGAGTTGCTTGCTTGTCTCCTTTGGTTCTATAAGGGAACCAGCATTCCACTCATCCAGGTGCCCTCTGGCTGGCACTCATGACCTTTACTGTCTTCCTGCTTGAGAAATAGGTTTTGCGTTCACTTTCTGCGTCTGCCTGTCTCTGCTGCTTGGATTGTAATATAAATGTGACATTTTTATATGCCTTGAACTCAAGACTCTTGGTTCATTGTCTTGGGCTGTTGGGGAAGAAATATAAAGTACATTTTCTCTCTTCAGCAACTCTGAAAGAAAAACACGTTACTGTACTAAGGCACTGAACAGCCCAAGGCTGTTAAGTTACAAGATTTTAGAAGAGGAAAGGCCCTTTACTTATTGTGGGGAGTGGGTTCTTGTGCCATAGCATGCATTTGGATCAGTCAGTCCTTTCTCTCCTTCCACTGTGGATCCTGGTGATCCAGCTCAGATTAATAAGTGGGGTGGCAAGTGCGTTTACCTGCAGAGCTGTGCCAGCAGCTCAATTTGTGCTTTGTTTTGTTTTGTTTTTGCTTTTTGAGACAGGATTTCTCTGTAGCTCTGGTTGTCCTGGAACTTGCTCTGTTGGCTAGGCTGGCCTTGAACTCAGAGATCTGCCTCTGCCTCCCAAATGCTGGGATTAAAGACATGCACCATCACTACACAACCCAATTGTGCTTTTATTAGGAGAGGTATAGAGTCCCAATGGGCTGCACTCTTTCAAAAGTACCTGTGTAGGTGTTGGCTGTCAGGAATGGAGGAGGATGCTATGAGAGATGCTAAAGGGACAACCATGGGCTTTCTGCCTAGCATCTAATGGGGTCTGCATCCTGTGTGGTAAACACGGGGAGGACTAACCACTGGTGAGCACATCCCCATCTGATTCTTTAGTTTCATCACAGTTTCAAGGCCTCTCAGTGTATAAGTCTCACTTTAAAGTATTTGAATTAAAAATATAAAGAAATAAAAAGAAGGGTTGTTATAAAACCTGCCAATGGTATACTGACAGACACATTTATGACTACCTGCTGGTAATATTGGCCAAACTAGAATGTTACATTTTAAGTATTTTTTTCTATTCTTAAACTTATTTTTTGTACCTGTTTTTTTTTTTTAAACTTTACAATGTTACAGAAAGCTGTCCTTACACATGTATGTCATGTGCTTTGAGCATATTTTCCAGCAGTAGTGTGTTCTTTGCTCCTTGGACAATGCCACCTCTACTTTTATGCCCTTAGTGTATGTTCTGATAATTTTAAAAGTACGTGCTAATAATGTTTGTTATTTGTCTTCAAATTATCACAGCAGTAGTCTCTAACCCGCTATCATAATCAATAAAAGACGAAAGAGACTGGGATTTATTTAATTAGCCTAGAGCACAGTGCTGTGCAATAATTAACTCTATCCTAAACTTTCAAGCTAGCATAGCTTCCTCCCATTCAGATTTTCCACATTATACTTACTTTTTAATAATATCATAGGTCTGGTTCATTTCTCCTGATTTTACCTGGTCCTCTCCTCATGGACCTGGATGCCCCTTCCCCCCATATTGTTCAGCATTGGCTAGTTGTCTTTTATTGGCAACACAGAGAAAAAAATGGTGCCACGTTTACACGAACTCAAAACAGGAGACACTTAGAATAAACATCACAATGCAATGGCTGGGTTGAAACCAGGTAGTGGGGAAGAGAAATCGGCATGAGAAAATGAGAGGAAACAAGGTAATTGTCTTTCTAAAGGAATTGACTATTCCTTTAGTATAGTTATCTACAGTAGCATCCATTTTCCTGCAAAGGATGTAACTC